AACTTGAATCTCTGATGTCCTTCTCATCTCTAGAGTATCAACTTGTCCTGCAGTTCTAGAATTTAAGTCTCCAAGGATGAATATGTTTCCTTGATTTGCAAAATGCAGAGATTCTTCAGTGATAATATCAAACATATCTTCACTGAGATGTCATTGTTTTTATAATAGGTTGACCCAACTGGTGGGACATATAGACTACATAAAAAGAGATTCCTGTTTAAACCAAAGAAATCTTTATCCATTTTCACCCATTTGGCTTCTTTACATTTACTTTTAATTTTTGTTAGGCCTTTACTTAATATAGACTTGAACATAACAATTATACCACCAGAGGATTTTCTAGCATTAACACATTTTTTTTATCTAATCTAAAGTACAAATAGCCCTCTGGCACACTAACTCTCTGACTACTATCTAACCAGGTCTCTAAAAAAACAAACTATATCATGTTTTTTAACAAACTCAATGAAATCACTTTCATCTATACTAGAATTTAAGCCATGAATATTCCAAGAAGCAATTTTTAGTTGCTGCTTGAATCTGTTCATCGTTTAACCCCATGGAAAGTAAGGTCGGGCAGGAAGATAATTAGGTACAGCAGGCATCCAAGGCATAGGTGTGGGCACTGCTGAGAATGGTGGTGGTGAATGCATTCTCTGTTGATACCAGTTTGGCGTTGTCATACGATACATTGATGAATTCTCAGCCATGACATGGTTGTTGTTGCTGCTATCCCTGTTGTCATTTATGTTTTCAGTAGATGCATTTTCATTAATATTATTTCCTAGGATTTCTTGTGTTTTGTAATCATGTTTGTTTTTATAACCTTAAATCATTATCTAACACATTTTTTCTCCTTAATTGTGATCTTGGTCTTTCTCGTAGATTGTTGTTTCTAATTCTTGGTTTGTTCTTAATAGCACTAATTATGTTAGCTGCCAAGACCTTGGTACCAATGTCATTGAGATGGATATTGTCACTATGATAGTATTTCTTTGTGCCATACAACTTGTTATGGTCAACAAAGATCATACCATCTTGGTCATCTATACGTGACTTGACATTAAGGTTTACCTCTTTGATTTTCTTATTTAATTCTGAATTTCCTCTTGGTAGAATACCTGATACAATGACTGTACTAGACGTATTCATTCTTGATTTACTTAGGTGGGCTAAATTCACGATATCTTCAATGACATCCCCACTCTGTTTGCTGTTATCTATATCATTGCTTCCAACATGCAATATAAGTTTATTAACATGTTCCATTGAGCAACTTTTTATCTTCTGTTCTGCATCAAGTATGGTTGAGGCACGTATTTTGTCAACTTGTTTCTTGGACAGTTTGACAACATCAATATGTTTTATTAGGGAATCACCTATAAGGACTATATTGCTGTCTTGCCTTGTCAGTCCCTTTGGTTTTTGCTTCGAATTTGATAATTGCTGCTTTTTCTCTGTATGTGTCTCATTTTCATCTTTTTCCTCAGTGATTTCAGATAATATAGCAGTGTTGACATTTGAATCACTCTCATTGTGTACATTCATGTTTAGTACTTGTGGGCTACACTGATTAGCTTTTGATGTCTTGACTGGGTGAAATCCGGTATCCATTCCCTGTATGATGGTTTCAAGGGAATCATATTTATCCTCCAGAATCATCAGAATCATATTTATCCTCCACCATATGTCACATGGTTTGGCAGCCATATTGAATTAAATTTAAACCGGAAGTGCCCTATTTTACACACTACCCAGGGGTCAAGCCATATCTAAATTATGTCATAGCATCAGTGGGACATTTACTACCAAGTTCATGGATAAATTTTCACTGGTCACATGACCTTGTCCGCCATTTTCGTTTTTGATGAAAAAAAGTACAAACACTGAAACATCTTGTAATGAACAGCAATACCCAATGACTTGAAACTTTGTATATAACATATCCAGGCAAAGACCTTTCAGCATATTTAAGGATATGCTGCCATCAGCCCCGGGCCATAAGCCTTCAAACTTGGACCCGACAAAGCTGCTCTGCAGCTTTAATCTTCATTTTGATATTATAATTTCAGATGTACTCAAACTTTCTGTTACTTGAACCAGGAAAGGAATTTGGTAGTAATTGATAGACCGTTACAATATTGTTGTTTTAAACTTGTTTTGTATTGTTGCTGTTGTGCCAATAAAGTTAGATGAATGTAAATAATTATTGGTGTATGTGTATTTAATTACACAATAATTCACACGAATGCAGATGTATGAATCATCGTGAATACAGGTACAATTTAGTTATGTTGTATGCATCAGAATATCTTAATAAATATTACACAATATGTGATATTTTAGCAATTGATTCTTGGATGTTCTGTATCATGAATGTCATAAAAAATATTAATGTTCCCATCAGGTACTTTGAATCTCGAGTTGATCACTAAAATAGATATGCACATACAATATTGCTTCAACATGTATCTATTTATTCGTTATATATTGATTGCTTTTGTTGACCTGACAACATTGTATTGGCTGTTTGTAAAACTCAAATTTATTGCACATTTTCAATAGTCTAGTGAGTGGATGCTTTTATTAATACATTTAATGCAGTATGACCCAATTACTCTATTGTGGTTCTGAATTTTAAAATAATAGCTCGTTTGTAAATCTTCAAACAGACTTCCCATCAGATAATCACCAGCATGCAACGTTTTGAAAAAGCAATGAGTTTATTGAAGTTTGGTAACAATCGCATTAAAATAGCGACGCTCAGTTTTGGAATTTGGAAACATTATAATGTGACAACCGTCTCCTGTCATACTGAGTAAAAAAAACAGCCATGGAATGGTCCAACTTGCATATTTTTTGGAGGTGTTTTTGTTGGGGTTGGGCGTTTCAAAACCAATGCGCTGGATTCGAAAGTCAGCTAAACCCAAATCTGAAAAATTGTAATGTTCTTGAAAAGAATAA